GGTTTGATGAATCTCGATTTCTACTGTGACATTTAGATGCTAGAGTCAGAATCTGGCATAAACAACTTGAAGAATGGATCCATTCTGTCTCATATCAGTGGTTCAGGCTGCTGCTGCTGGTGATTGTTGGCATACTTTGGGCCCCTCAGTACGCACTAAGCATCGTTTAAATGCCACAGCCCACCTGACTGTTGTACCCATCTTCTGAAGGCTGTTTCCAGCAGGATGATGCACCATGTCACAGAGCTTAAATCACCTCAAACTGTTTTCTTGAAGATGACAGTGAGTTCACATTACTCAAACTCCACAGTCACCAGATGCAACAGAGCACCTTTGGGATGTTGTGAATTGGGAGATTTGCTTCAAGGATGTGCAGCAGCTGCATAACCCTTGTTCAATTTATGCATAATTAACACAGTTCTGATATGCAAAAGGCTTCCAAACCGGTACAAGCAAGGTGTACCTAAAAAAGTGTCTTTTTAAAAAGACTCTGTATTTAAGCAGCCCTCTGACTCCTTTGAGGCCTGGCCCTGTGCCCAGGGGCTGTACCTGAGGACTGTTTAGTAATCCAAGCACAAATGTGATTGAATTCTCTGCTGTGCTCTGTGTTCATGTCTAGCTCTGTCTCAAACAGAAAAATATTTGAAATAAAATTTCAGTTTTTCATAAGAGCCAGCAAATAGACAACGGATCTTTCACGAGCTTGCTAATGATTTTTTTATTTATTTTTTTGCAAAGCATCAGTTTCTAGTTTTCAGAAAACACTTTCATCTCCTTTGCGAGCTGAAATAATTAATCTTCATTCTTTGAGCATTAGAAACAGAAATAGTCAAAACTGGTTAAAGAGTCATCAGTTTCCATATATCTGGTAAATGTTGTGAGAGATATTTAAAAGTATTTATATGTGCCAAATCCTTAAACCAGTGTGAGAAGACACACATCATAGAAAATATTCAAATACATAGCCACCTGCCTCATATTGTTTAGATCCATTTTATGTTGCCAAACAGCTTTGAGCCACAAGGGTACAGGTCACAGGACCTTTGTGGTTTCTGGCAGCACTTGTTGGCAGCATATCCATATGACAGGGAGATTGGAGGTCCATGGATCAGTATTATTCCAGCACATCTTTTGGCAGCCCAATTAGACTGCAGGCCAGGGTCAACAGCTTGATCTTTCTGTGGTCCTCTGTCCCTGAATAGACTTTCTCATAATTCTCGGATTTGAGCAACTGTTCTCCAGGTTTTATGAAGGTCTTTCTTTGAGCATTGGCTTCTTTTTCACTTATTTTTAGTCCAGTCAAGTCCAGAGTAGTTTTGCACCAACAATATGATTCCCAAAAATCGGAAAACAACAGTGTGTACTTAACAAAAACAGAGAAAACTGTAAACGTGGAGGAAAAAGGACAAAGTGACTATCTGCAGTAGATAAACTGTATCTGACACAGGATCTGTTTGTCTAAGACTCATCAGAAAGGGTCTCAGTGGAATTTTGTCTGTAAGGAAGGAGAGGACTTCAAGAGAGAGGTGCGAGTGTCTACAGACATCTTTAAAACATGGTGGAGGCTCTGTGATGGTTTGGGGTTTCAGCCGGTGGTGTTGGGGATCCTAAAAATCCTAGAAACAACATGAAAGTTTGCCTAAGAGTTCACCCTATGTTGGGGAATTGAGGAAGTCATGCCAAATATTGACTTTGATGCTTGTCAAAAGTGTGCAAACTCTGTTTTTGCCTTATATAACGCCACATACGTTTGCATGTGAAATGAGAGGTGGCTCAGGACTTCTGCACTGCACCATATTCCTGCTGGGTAGGTCTGCTGCCTGCTGGGTGAAGGTTGCTCTATTCAATTCAATTCAATTTTATTTATATAGCGCCAAATCACAACAAAAGTCGCCTCAAGGCGCTTCGTAGATACAGAGAAAAACCCAACAATCATATGACCCCCTATGAGCAGCACTTTGGCGACAGTGGAAAGGAAAAACTCCCTTTTAACAGGAAGAAACCTCCGGCAGAACCAGGCTCAGGGAGGGGCGGGGCCATCTGCTGCGACCGGTTGGGGTGAGAGAAGGAAGACAGGATAAAAGACATGCTGTGGAAGAAAAACAGAGGTTAATAACAGAAAAACTCAATGCATCATGGGAATCCCCCGGCAGCCTACGTCTATTGCAGCATAACTAAGGGAGGATTCAGGGTCACCTGGTCCAGCCCTAACTATATGCTTTAGCACAAAGGAAAGTTTTAAGCCTAATCTTGAAAGTAGAGATAGTGTCTGTCTCCTGAATCCAAACTGGAAGCTGGTTCCACAGAAGAGGGGCCTGAAAACTGAAGGCTCTCCCTCCCATTCTACTTTTAAATACTCTAGGAACAACAAGTAGGCCTGCAGTGTGAGAGCGAAGTGCTCTAATAGGGTGATATGGTACTACAAGGTCATTAAGATAAGATGGGGCCTGATTATTTAAGACCTTGTATGTGAGGAGCAGGATTTTGAATTCAATTCTGGATTTAACAGGAAGCCAATGAAGGGAAGCCAAAACAGGAGAAATATGCTCTCTCTTTCTAGTCCCTGTCAGGACTCTTGCTGCAGCATTTTGGATTAGCTGAAGGCTTTTCAGTGAGTTTTTTGGACATCCTGATAATAATGAATTACAGTCGTCCAGCCTGGAAGTAATAAATGCATGAACTAGTTTTTCAGCGTCACTCTGAGACAGGATATTTCTAACTTTAGAGATGTTGCGCAAATGGATATGTGCATTAAAGGACATGTCCTGGTCAAAAATGACTCCAAGGTTCCTCACAGCGTTACTGGAGGCCAAGGTAATGCCATCCATCCATCCATCTATCTGTAACAATTTTACAGACAGGTGGTCAGTGTGTGTCAATGTGACATCCACATGAGAACCCAGCCAGGAAGTGCATTACAACAAGATGATTGATGGTAATGACTTCACCTGCCAATATATCTAAAGTTGCTCTAGTTGTTGTGGATTTAAGTGATGTAAGCACTTCAAAAGGTTAAATGTAATGTGTGAGCATAAATTATACTTTTGATTTTAAATGGCTGTGTCTTATATTTGAATTGCTTAAGATAACCGTTGTGTTAATTGGTGCTGGAAAAACTGAATTGTGCTGACATAATTAATTATTTTTTCCCTGCAGATAAAGTACATGGATATAATTAAAATGTCTTAATGATTCTCAGTGTAGCTTTTTCATTTAGCGCTGCAATAGTGGTTAATTGCTGTACCTGCTAAGCTCATTGCGCCACTTTGGAATAGGATTTAGATAATGGCATTCTGCTGAAATGAGACAGAGTGGACGTAATGCTGAATTTAGTTTACCGCTTCACTTCACTTGAACAGTTTTATTTTGATATCGGTGCTTTCCTCAGTTCCTATTCGGTATTTAGACGTACTAACAATGTGTGCAAATTTATAAGTAACCAAAAGCACATCATTTGACATAACCGCAGGGTCCAGTTATGAGGTCATGTGTTAAGAAACAGAGGAATCACTTAGCTGCATGAAGGATTTAACAGTTTGGTTTTTTTCATCTGATTCGTTATATTAGTGACTCTTAACAGTGAAGCTTTCTTATGTGCCCTCTAACTTGAGAGTGTGATGTCAGGTCACTGCACCAGTTTAATTTATTAGGAAAGAGAAACGTTCAAAACAAATGGCAATGAAATTTGTTGTAAATAAATTTTAGCTCACTGATGAAAGTCAGGAACTATTTTCAAAGCCATCCTTTAGTGATTGTGGCTGTTTTATGTCATTGTAATTAAGTGATTTTCCTTCAAAATGTCAGCAGCCAGCTTATCATATAACACATCCAACTTAATTCAGAGCAGCCAATGACTACGTTCACCTACACTCACATGTATCTGCTGCTTTCAGCGTGGCATTATTGTAAACTGGCTTGAAAAGGATTGCAATATTTTACACATTGCTTGTCTCTGTGTTAAATGTGTTCAATTTGTCTTGTGAAAATGTTTGTAAATTAAATAAAGTACGACATTATTAGCAGGGATGGGTTACCTTAGCATAAAGGATAGGAACACAGTGAAACCACTAGCTTGCCCAGTTTTACCCAAAGGCAGGAAAATCTGCAAACCAGTAGCTAGCAAAGTAGCAGATTATTGTGCACTCGCTGTATCTTGTCAGTTTACCAGTTTAACACACAAGACCCGGCCAAGAATCAGTCAACCACATAACCTGTAAAGCTACGACATGTCAGATTACACAAATTAAGTGAGGGTTTCTTTTTTTCTTTTTTTTTTATATATGTGAGGCTGCTTCCTGTTCTCCAAATCAAAACTAAATTCAATTCAATTCAATTCAATTTTATTTATATAGCGCCAAATCACAACAAAAGTCGCCTCAAGGCGCTTCATAGATACAGAGAAAAACCCAACAATCATATGACCCCCTATGAACAAGCACTTTGGCAACAGTGGGAAGGAAAAACTCCCTTTTAACAGGAAGAAACCTCTGGCAGAACCAGGCTCAGGGAGGGGCGGGGCCATCTGCTGCGACCGGTTGGGGTGAGAGAAGGAAAACAGGATAAAAGACATGCAGGATAAATCAAGCCTAAAGCAGTCATCTGGTTTTAGTTTGTGTTTAATGTACTTCTATTTGCAGTGCAATACAAAATGTAAACACTTACTCAGAGTGGTTGCTGTCTTGGTTTTATGGAACTTTCCTAGCACCATTTTTTTGCTGAAGCAGGCAGTACTAAAACCACTTTTTATTATCTGATCAGCACCAAGCATTAGAAAAGGATGTTAATGGAGGCCAAACTAGGACCACACACAGGAGTTACATTTGCAAGGAACCGAATACTATTTGTATGTTGTTAAATAAACAAGGTGCTTGGGGTGAATCATGTTTGTTTGCAGCATGTGTAATTGAAGCTGGCATAATATTAAGCATGATCTCAATATTACAAAGCTTACGTGAAAGCATGACACAGTCTCACGTTCTTCTTCTTGTTTCTTCTTTCAGCCTGCTTGAAAAATGGCCTCCAGGTAAGAGTTGCGATGATCCAGACCCGACCCACAGCAGAGATGAATGTGTCTGATGAATCCTCCTACCAAGAGGAGGTGCTGCTGGGTAACTCTACCTGGGGCTACTCCTATTATCATCAAAACTACACCCTGATCCCTCCACTATCAGAGAAGGCTAGCACCTCCAAACCTGCAGCATGCGAGCAGGTCCACATCGCTATCGAGGTCTGTAGCACTTTGGATTCATTTATTTATCTCGTGATTTCTTCTTGGCTACCACTACCCCGACTGTCTCTTCACTGGTCTGTATTTTGATCTCCTCTCCTAAGGTCTTTCTGATCCTGGGTATCATCTCACTGCTGGAGAACATTTTAGTCATCACAGCCATAGTGAAGAACAAGAACCTACATTCCCCCATGTACTTCTTTGTCTGCAGGTAAACTCCTCAGTGGTTTAAGACATAAAGGGGAAAATAACATAATAATGTACGAGGACCACCCAAAACCGTTTTAATAAAGTGAGCTTACTATGTGTAAAAGATTTTGTTAAGCAGCAGTTTATTAAAATATGCTTCTATCCTTCAGTGCTTACTCTCTGTCTTGGTGTAATACAGCCTTTCCCAGGGGCAAAATGCAATATAGGTCCCAAGTGAAACCTTGTTCACTCTTGTCAACATATTAGTGTAAATGGATACATTTAGGATTAGAATACACCCTAATGTAACCATTATAATTGGATAACAATGCATGCCTCCCCTCAAGGCCCATATCATTTGAGTTCACATTGTTATTTTCAAGCCCTTCTCAAACGACCATAACAACGCTGCATCCACACAGGAAGCATTTTGGAGGAATGCGGCGACCAGAGACCACAGAAAGACAATAAAATGTAACAACTTCAAAAAAGCAAAAACAAACAAACAAACAAAACAATGAGATAAACATTTCTCAACTTAGATGCAAGTGATTGAAGCAACTATCAGTGAGAGTGCAGGATACGTTTCATTAGACCATCCTGACTGACCTATGACTTGATAGCAAATACGTTTGAGGATGACCTAGGAAAGCAATTCAGCAGTTCAGTCAATTCAATTCAGTTCAGTTTTATTTATGTAGTGTAAAATCATAACAAGTTACTTCAACTTCTAAGGTAAAGACCCTACAATAACACCCAGAAAGCCTCAGATGAGAAGGAATACATTATATCTCTGACAGAACCATGCAGGGGCAGCCATCCGTTGCCACCAGTTGGGGTTGAGGAAGATGGGTCTAAAGACATACTGTGGAAAAATAATAACAGTACTATTAATAATAACTAATAATGAAATCACAACAACGATCCTGGAATATTCCCTAGCAAACAACTGTCAGCTTCAATGCAATGTGAATAACCCCCTGTGTGGATGGATTTTAGGTATCTGCCAGACACTGAACCGATAACTTTCGGAGTAGCCTATGTTGATGTAATTAATAGACATGAACCGTTATCAATTATGTTTAGAAAGATCCTGATTTATCTTTTGTGACACAAATGATTAAAGTGGTTCAGTCCTGCTTTGTACAACCGAGACAGCTATCCAGGATTAGATTAATCCTTTCTGTTCTAAAAAGGTCATCAATGCTTTTATCGTCTATAGAATTGAATATTGTAATGCACTTTACTCTGCTCCAGAGGCTACAGCTGATGTTGCCTAACTTTAAAACCACAGAAAGAGAAGCAACCACAACATACCAATCCCTCCCTGTTGCCCTTCACTGGCTAACAGTAGTTTTTATTGAGAATAGTCTGGCTCCTGAGTTCCTCTGGCAGTGCTCTGTTAAAGGTTCATGAATAAAGGTTCTGGAAAGGTCATGAAAGGTTACCGGGCCTTTGCCTACTAGGCCCCTCAGCTGTGGAACTGCCTGGCAGGAGATGCCAAGCGAGCTATCCTACTGGTCTCTTTTAAATTGAAAGCAAGGAGAACACAAGGAAGCATGCCAGCAAGCAAACAAGCAAGTAAGTAAGAAAGGAAAATAATACAAGTAACCATAAAAAGCAATTTACAGTGGGGCAAAAAAGTATTTAGTCAGCCACCGATTGTGCAAGTTCCCCCACTTAAAATGATGACAGAGGTCAGTAATTTGCACCAGAGGTACACTTCAACTGTGAGAGACAGAATGTGAAAAAAAAATCCATGAATCCACATGGTAGGATTTGTAAAGAATTTATTCGTAAATCAGGGTGGAAAATAAGTATTTGGTCACCTCAAACAAGGAAAATCTCTGGCTCTCACAGACCTGTAACGTCTTCTGTAAGAAGCTTTTCTGTCCCCCACTCGTTACCTGTATGAATGGCACCTGTTTGAACTCATCATCTGTATAAAAGACACCTGTCCACAGCCTCAAACAGTCAGACTCCAAACTCCGCCATGGCCAAGACCAAAGAGCTTTCGAAGGACACCAGGAAAAGTATTGTAGACCTGCACCAGACTGGGAAGAGTGAATCTACAATAGGCAAGCAGCTTGGTGTGAAAAAATCAACTGTGGGAGCAATCATCAGAAAATGGAAGACATACAAGACCACTGATAATCTCCCTCGATCTGGGGCTCCACGCAAGATCTCATCCCGTGGGGTCAAAATGATCATGAGAACGGTGAGCAAAGATCCCAGAACCACACGGGGGGACCTGGTGAATGACCTGCAGAGAGCTGGGACCAAAGTAACAAAGGTCACCATCAGTAACACACTACAACGGCAGGGAATCAAATCCCGCAGTGCCAGACGTGTTCCGCTGCTGAAGCCAGTGCATGTCCAGGCCCGTCTGAAGTTTGCCAGAGAGCACATGGATGATACAGCAGAGGATTGGGAGAATGTCATGTGGTCAGATGAAACCAAAGTAGAACTTTTTGGTATAAACTCAACTCGTCGTGTTTGGAGGAAGAAGAATACTGAGTTGCATCCCAAGAACACCATACCTACTGTGAAGCATGGGGGTGGAAACATCATGCTATGGGGCTGTTTTTCTGCCAAGGGGACAGGACGACTGATCCGTGTTAAGGGCAGAATGAATGGGGCCATGTATCGTGAGATTTTGAGCCAAAACCTCCTTCCATCAGTGAGAACTTTGAAGATGAAACGAGGCTGGGTCTTCCAACATGACAATGATCCAAAACACACCGCCCGGGCAACAAAGGAGTGGCTCCGTAAGAAGCATTTGAAAGTCCTGGAGTGGCCTAGCCAGTCTCCAGACCTCAACCCCATAGAAAATCTGTGGCGGGAGTTGAAAGTCCGTGTTGCTCGGCGACAGCCCCAAAACATCACTGCTCTCGAGAAGATCTGCATGGAGGAATGGGCCAAAATACCAGCTACTGTGTGTGCAAACCTGGTAAAGACCTATAGTAAACGTTTGACCTCTGTTATTGCCAACAAAGGTTATGTTACAAAGTATTGAGTTGTATTTTTGTTATTGACCAAATACTTATTTTCCACCCTGATTTACGAATAAATTCTTTACAAATCCTACCATGTGGATTCATGGATTTTTTTTTTCACATTCTGTCTCTCACAGTTGAAGTGTACCTCTGGTGCAAATTACTGACCTCTGTCATCATTTTAGGTGGGGGAACTTGCACAATCGGTGGCTGACTAAATACTTTTTTGCCCCACTGTAGATGGCTTACAGGCTCAGGTAGAGCGAACTTTTGTTTTGTAGAAGTGTGACTTCAAGGTGACAGTCTAGAGTATGCTTCTATGTGATTACACAACAGGATTTTTTGCCAGAATTCAAAGAAATAATGAGTTTCAATTTCCAAACCTTCTCCTTTATGTAACTGATTAAAAAGCTCAGTTGTGCAAAAAATATTTTTCTTTTGCCTGAAGTGGAAAAGTTGGTTTATTTATAAAAGCCGAAGAACAGTTGAAGATAATTGGTCATCCTGAGCTTGGCAGAAGCAGATTTCCAATATAATCCAATGTGAAATCTAATCATTCTTTCCACTTAGAAAAATGTCATGCAGCATGTGTTGCTAGAGGAAACATGTGAACTCTTGAAAATAACATAAATCTTTTATCCTGATTATAAATGGTTAAATAAAACCATTTGTAGCAGGGAGTTACAAAAGAGGCTTTTTGATTTTATAATCTTGTGGCCTCCTTAGACTAATCATTAGGTAACGATGATTTAAACAACTTATGATTAACCTTCTTTCTTTAAATTTGTCTCCAACCAATGGAGATCTGTGGACTCAAAAATCATGACATATTTGGGGCAGCTGCCACATCAAAATCAAGTCACACTTTTAATGACCCTACTGTATAAATCAGAAAAATACTTGGATGTCTGTTTTCACATCAGCACCAATTTCTTGTGACTTTGTTTGGGTCTGTCTTCTGATTTGAAAGACTTAATCCTCTTACTAAGACAAAAGCAAACGTGTTTCAGCTGTGCAGAGACACAGCAGACATTCAACTAAGTCTTTGAATTTCTGGCGAGCTGTATAGTGCTTCTGTTCATGTGGTTCTGAATGACTGCCACGGCGTAACACTGAGGTACAGCGAGTTACTGCACGATAACACTTGTTATCTTTTATTTGAAAATCCATTCGATTCATGGGGGGAAAAAGAAATACATTCCTACTTAATGTGTTGTTTTCCTTCTCTCTATAGGTAAGTTGTGAGTATTTGGTGAGTCAGTCCACGATGTTTATTGTGATATAATATGCTGCCTTGGTAACCAAGACAATAGAGGAGAGCCTGTTGCTTCCTGTGGGCTGTAATCTTAACATATTACATGCCACCTCCACTCAACGTGGTGTTAAGAGCTTGTGCTCATTATTATTTCTGTGAGACTTGGCTGTCATTTTCTTTGGCACTTGAACAAATTGCTTTGCCAACAAGGTTCAACTAGATGTCCTGGAGAACATATTATTGTAGTTTCATGAATTCTCATTTGAACACCAAAACACCAAAATGGCACCAAAGCATAGAAATACATCTTAAGCTACATGTTTTAAATATCACCTCTTCTGGCCAAGAAGCTTTTACTCATTATACGAATCATTTGTCAAGTCAAGGCATGGAGTCCAAACGTGGAAAGCTGTGGAAAATCTAGAAAACTAACAACAGCCAGATTGTTAACCTTGCTCTGCGACACCTCTGAAATAATGTGTCAACTAAAACTAGACTTTTCCTGACTCTAAATTTAGTCCAGGGCAAACAATTCAGAGTTAAAATTGGGACTAATCAGGTTCTGAGTGGTGTATCTAGAGAGCTGTAAACATGTTTGTGGTTTTTACAGTGAAAGAACCTTTTCCTTACTTGGCTCATATGTTTGTGTGTGATTTCAGTTCAATTGTGTTAGTACAGTGAAGGAAAAAATAACTGTAAATTCAGACAGATGAGATTGTGCTGAAAAGAACAAGGCAAGGCAAAAATAAATAAATAAATTAAAAGGTGAATCACAAAAATAAAATAAAAAAATAGTCCGAAATGGCCAATTATACCCTGGACCCCAGAGCGTTAACCAAATAAAACATGAAAAATTTGTGAAAAAATGGGTTCATTTGTGGCATTTTGTGTAAATTTAAGCAATTTGATTATTTCTAATTAAAAAAGATTGTGAAACTTTAGTTAGACTTGTGTTTGTAAATGAATCACCTCATGTTGTGTAGCTTTATTGATTTTATGCTTATTGGGCTACAAAGTTATTCATCATACAGGCCAGTACATAAAATCAAAATTCACATGTTTTATGTAACTGAAATGTTTAATTATGTGGGCTAAAGAAAAAGAAAATTATAGAGTACGTGTTTATATGAAACATCTGTATACTTACTGCTTTTGATGTATTTTAACTGTATATAATACATATTACAGAATGTAACACATGCATATGTGTAAAAAATAAATTGCTTTGATTTTGCCACCCCATTTGATTTCCATGCCACCCAAAGAAAATTTGCCTAGATCCGCCCCTGCCTCTGTTCACACTATGCACACTATATATATATACTCTGACCATCAGCCACCAGCAGTTATAGGATCACTGTTTTAACCATTTTTGCTGTGGAAAAACATCAAATTTTACATGTAAATATACATAAATAGCATAGACGTGTTGTTTATTTTTAAGAAGCTCTTAAAATATTAGTATTATTTAGAAACAGTGTTTGGAAACAGCATCAAGCGTCTGTCTGTCTGCCTGCAGTGCAGTTTTTTTTTTGTGACCACTTTTAACTGGGGAGATAGGATCCATTTTTCCACCATCTTTGCTGGCTTTGTTGCTTGTGCAAAGGCTGTGAGTGCATGTGACTGTCAAAGCATTGCCTCAACTGCACCTCCGGAGAACGTGAAAGACTGTACTCAGGCATTAAATCAATTAATTGGTTTTCCCAGTATGACTGTGAGAAGAAAGTGTTTACGCAACAGGAGAGCGAATGCAGCTATTCTGTCAGCTCCTGAATACACAGAAGGAAGTGCATATAGAAACATTTATTTGAACATCTGTTTGCAGAATAAAGGTTGTATAAAGTATTTTGGTTTTTTGCAGTTTGGCAGTAGCAGACATGCTGGTGAGTGTGTCCAACGCCTGGGAGACCATCATCATTTATCTTCTCAACAACAGGCAGCTGGTGGTGGAGGATCACTTTATCAGGCAGATGGACAACATGGTGGACTCCATGATCTGCATCTCTGTCGTTGCATCCATGTGTAGCCTGCTGGCCATTGCTGTGGACAGGTAATGATGGAAGGGAGTATAAGCACAAATATATATATTTTTTTTCTTTTTTTTGCTATTGTTTCTTAATAGTTTCCTTTTGAAATGTTTTTAAGGGAACTGAAGTTTTAATTGAAGGCTCTAGTCACAATGAATCCTCATCCATCAGCCCAACACCACAGCCCCCAGTTTCCTAATAATGTTCTTGAACATAACTGACGTGTTACAATTTATAACAACAAAAAAGGACCCTGTAATTTTATGATTAATTTTAAGGAAAATTGAGGCAGTGCTTATTTGGCACTTGTTCAGTTAATTCCTGTCATGTGTTCCCTCTGACATTTCCTTTTTTCTCTCTCTCTTTAAACAGGTTTTATTCATTATCAAGAAAAGCATAAAACATAACAAAGCAAACAAAAAAGAAAGAAAGGAAAAGAAAAGAAAAGAAAAAAAACACCCCAAAGGGAATATATTAAAGTCATTATATACCTGTACAAATACACATATGCACTGTTAAAAAAAACATCCTAAAACAACGGTAATATTCCGGCAGCTGGGGCGCCAAAAATACGACCGTAAAATAACAGAAAATAACTGTCCCATAAAAATACAATTATTTTCAGTAATGAAAATAGAGTTTGTTGAGCTAATTTGACATGGGATTCTGCCTTTTCCAAGTGCTTTTAGACATTAAATTAGGAACATTTTTACGCGATCAAACGATGAAATTACCTATAAACAAGGTCACTGAATTGGGAAATATGAATCATAATACGTAAATGTACAGAAATATACAATTAACAGTTGGTTTACGTAATAATTGATTGCATGCCCTGGGACAGAGACGAGGCTGCCATATCGCACCATCGGCCCCTTTGGCCATCACTAGTAGGTGAAGAGTCCTGACCACGGACACAACGGCGGAGAGCGTCCGAGCCGGGGCGTGAACCGGCAATCTTCTGCTCACAAGGAGAACTGCCAACTTTTGAGCCACGAACGGCCTAACTAGCAGCGATAATAATACTTATGTGCTGTAACACAAGCTTATAGGGATCATGTTATATACTTTTCCATAGCATTACATTTGAATTCAACAGTTCAATCTTTCAAATAACGGACAGATATTTGTGAGATCATGATACATTTGTGAATGTATTTTAACAATCTAAATATGCATATGTACAGACAGATACATTTAATAATCATGACAATCATGTTGTATTACATTACAGTGATTTAACGTTAATTTACATTCAAAATGTGAAGTCAAAGTCTATTTACGTAACTTTAATGATACTCTAGAAGAACAGAACATTACTGTGAAATGCAGTAAAATACCTTCATATTAGGGTTTTTTCCTACAGTCGCAGCCATACCCACAACCTTGTTGTTAGTTCACATTCATTGGCCGATGCTTAGCATCATGTTATTTATATTAATTGCAATTCCCACCTCTACATTTCTTTTTCAAAATATATAATTAGCACAGCGTGTTTGTGCAATGTTTTACATTGTGGCATGCAGAGAAATCTTAACAAAGAAGCTCACAGAGAGAGATTGAGCTTGTTATTTAACCCCAAGCTGGTAGGAGCTCTTTATTAAAACACTTTCGGTGCTACAATATGCCTCAAGGTTCAACAACAGCACAACAGAAGTCCAGGCCCGGCCCTAACCAATCTGGCGCCCTAGGCAAGATTTTAGGTGGCGCCCCCCTACATCTGCAGTGCAGTGTATGTACTCACAAGAAACCGAATAGCTTTGTCTTTGACCTTTTTTTTTTTACTTAAAGAAAGCAAATTCACAATCAGAATAATTAACAAGATAAAAAAATATATGAATAAATAAATGAATACAAAAAATAAAAAATGAATATATGAAATACAATAAATTTTACATACATAAACACAATAAAACGTGTCAACAAGTTGGATAAAATAAATTAAAAATATAATATAAATAAGGCAACAGGAACACCGCTTGATGCTGCTGCAAAACTGGTGGGTTGTGCTGCTGAGGTGGAGGCAACAGGAAGACCGCTTGATGCTGCTGCATCATGGCTGGGTTGTGCTGCTGATGCTGCATCACTGGTGGGTTGTGCTGCTGAAGTGGAGGCAGCAGCGGTAGATGTGGTAGATGGCCCAGGGGTGGGATTTAGAAACTTCAACAGTGCATCTGAAGAGAGGAGTATGTGACACCACTGAGTCTAATAATAAAAACAGATGATTCCAGGAATAAAATGAAATGATATAATATAAATGAAAAACCAAAGAGATATATGTATGATGTTAACTGATATGCAAATTAGATTAGATTCAATTTATTGTCATCATTACAGTGAAATGCTGAATAGCAGAATGCAAAGTAACAGTATAATATCATATGAGAATGTTATGTTATGATTATCTTTGACCGAATCACAGCAGTGCTCATATTAAAAAACAGCATTCCCTCTCATGTGATATTGCTTAATTAACATTAATGATGTGCACTTTAACAACTAGGCTTACAACTATAATATATACAGGGGTGGAAAAGTGACTATTACCTGCAGGGTAAACATTAGCTACCCAGAAGGCAATAACAATGTAAACAAAAAACACCTGCTTAAAAGATGAATACAAATGAGGAATGGTGGGAAAGGTGGGTGTACTGTAATTACCTAATGTTACATTATTATTTTCCATAACAATTTAGCCCCCTCCACAATATTAACTGACGTTAAAACAGTTAACTAGCTATTTATTGATTAGCAATTAGCGAATCATGTAACATTAGCTTAATGCTAAAAATTTAGGTTACTTTCACATTCAGACAAATAATTTCATGTAGGCTAACGTTACCTACCTCTGTCTTTTTCTCGTTTCTCCTCCTCTTCTTCTCTCTTTTTTCTTCCCTGGGCACCTGACAGTTTTGACCGTTTTGACATCTTGTGTTGATTTTTTGATGTGGTGACGTCCAAAAGGAACCATGATACGGGAAGGGAGGGGGCGCACCGTGCGGGGAGGGGGGGCGTAATGTTCTAACAAATAATATTTCTATTAAATAAGCTTTACTTTGCATTTTAATTAACGTGGGATTATTTTTTGTATTTAGAAATAATAGTACCAACTTTTTTTTTTTTTCAACATTTGTGGCACTGGCGTGGCGCCCCCTGATGGACGGCGCCCTTAGCATTTGCCTATACGGCCTATGCCACGGGCCGGCCCTGCAGAAGTCACTCATGGTACAGCACTCTCTCTACAAAACAACAACTGTCAGTGACGCTACACCACGGCGTAAACACAACATTCAAGATAACAGTTAAAAGTAACGTAACCATAAACAATAGAACAAGAACATGTCCCAAGGCATGATGGGAGACATTCCTGGATGTATTTTTACGATCTAAATATGCATATGTACAACAAAATATATTTAACAAACAAGTAAATTGTGTTTTATTACATTTACAGTGATGTTATGTTATTTTACATTTGACTTGTCAGATCACAGTCTACTTATGTAAATGTAATGATATTCTAGAAAAACAGTACACATCTGTAAAATACACAGTAAAATCATTTGACATTACTATTTTTTGGAACAGTGTGGGGTAAAGAGGAGAGAAAAATACTGCTTGCACTAAATCTTAGTTGTCAGTGCTGAACAGATCAAAGTGTTTTTGTTGTCTCACTGTGTGAATGAATTAAATTTTAAGCAAATGAGTAAACCAGCCTTGATGCAGTTTAATTTTTTGTTTTAAATTGACATTTTATTTCTTAATTTCCACCTTCTTTCTCTGATACACACAACAAATTTGGTTCATTCATCATGGGGATTGCTGCTTACTCTAATGCATCTGTGCAAATGTTAAGACAGGCAGAAAATTTTAGTTTTTTCTACTTTTTACTTTGCAATAAATTATCTGGCAAGACAGAAAACTCAGAAAATGTCCATCTTTCTCTGATTTCCCTTCTCATTCTTTTCCTTTTTTGTATGCTTGTGAAGTAGATTTTAAACCCTTGAAATGTGCAGGTTTTTTTCATCTTCACCATTCGTGTCTTTTTATGGGCTTTTCACATTGAAAAAAATGGATCTTTTAATTTCATCTGAGCTTGAGCTCAACTTGGAGCCTGAATATTTAACAGCAAAGCTGTATTATTAAGAGATGAATATTTCATAAGCACCGATGGCACACTTTCTTGATCTTGTGCTTTCATTTTGACCACTCTATTTCAAAAAGGTCTGCCTCAAATCTCCTAATTCGATGGGTTAACCTACCATGCAAGTCTTTGGACTGTGGGTGGAAGCCAAAGAACCCACGCAGGTTTACGGAGCACCAGTATGCCGCTCTAAACAGTAATTTTATAACTTCTTAGTTCTAGAACCTAACAAATGACAATAATTGGAAGAATTGCAATAAGGCCTTCAAACTATTCAGTGCCTGTTCTTTATTAGTTCGTCCTGATTGCACACAACCATTCACAGCTACATTTAGCATGTGATCACTATTTTAAAAGTGTGTCTTTGTTACCATTGATTACCATTTAATCAATTGTCTGCTTAATAATGAATGTAGAATAACTGGAAAAACTGTTCTTTTTTAAATGTTTGTCAGACATGTTGATATTTGATCCATATACATTTAACTGAGTTAAATCTTACTCTTTCTAACATATTGGCATTCCTTTTGTTCCCTTTTCCATGCTTGCTATTCCTTCATGTACTGGAGCATGTATAAAACTGCAAACATTGCATAGATCATCATACTGGATGATACTGTACCATCCCCAGAGGCTGTTTGAAAGAGGTGGACTCGGGTCCATATTAGGCTGACTCTGATTCAGTATATGAATCAGGTATAAATACATGGTGTGCAAGAATCAGGAAACTTGACAATATGATATTCATTTGGTTTCTCAGTGACATTTAATATTTACGAGATTGTCTCAAAGACATATAAATTACATTCATACCAGAGGTTACAACAGAGCCACCAAATAACAAAATTGCACCTTTTATGTATAAATGTACGTTATGCGTGATCAACAACCCAAGGTTGCCTAACGTTATCCTCATTGAATATTGAATGTCTCAAGAATAAATGTCTCACTTCATGTGACCTGTAGTCTGGTTCCCTCTCTGTGAGTTATTGTATTCAGCACACACACAGTCCCCGTTATGTTTAAATGTCAAGTTTTCTGACTTGAAACGATTTTGTAATTCATCAGTGAGCAATAAATGTTGACATAAAATTAGAGGTTACTGAGGTGGATACTATGTTATTATCCACAGGTACGTCACCATCTTCTATGCACTGAGGTACCACAACATCATGACGGTGAGGAGAGCTGGCTGTATCATCGGGGGAATCTGGACCTTCTGCACTGGCTGCGGAATTGTCTTCATTATCTACTCAGACTCCACTCCTGTGATCATCTGCCTGATCTCTATGTTTTTTGCCATGCTGCTCATCATGGCCTCCCTCTATAGTCACATGTTCATGCTCGCTCGCTCGCACGTGAAGCGCATTGCTGCCCTGCCCGGCTACAACTCCATCCATCAGCGCACCAGCATGAAGGGGGCTATCACACTGACCATCCTTCTGGGGATCTTTATCGTCTGCTGGGCTCCTTTCTTTCTCCACCTCATCCTGATGATCTCTTGCCCACGGAATCTCTACTGCGTGTGCTTCATGTCCCACTTCAACATGTACCTCATCCTCATCATGTGCAACTCAGTGATTGACCCACTGATCTATGCCTTCAGGAGTCAGGAGATGAGGAAGACGTTTAAGGAGATCATCTGCTGTTACAGTCTGAGAAACGTCTGCACGAACATCTGTGCTTTGACTGGTAAGTACTGAGAAATAGAAAAGACCAGTGAAAGGATGGGTAAAGTGAACTGACCGAATATGACGCTGGAATAGAAATACTACTACCCAAGGACTGGTTCACTGCACTTTTCAGACAGTACAGTGTACCGTCACACAAGCAACTATTGAAAAGTATAAGCTGGAAAGGAGACTGGAACATTGAGTTATCTCCTAATGCATCCACCATGTACACAAAAAGTTTACTAGATGCATTATTTTAAGGCTTAGTTAGGATCATCTAAAGTCCAAGCCCATGATTCATATTAACGTGCGTCACACAAAACTGTTTGTGGCCTGCTTTTCATTCTCCCTGACATTTCTTTTATCTTTTTTCCTTTGGCCTTTCTTTTTTAATAGGCAAGATTTTTATTCTCTGTTCCCAGAATATGTCTGATGCAGTAGCCAAATGGATAGACAGGATATTTTTCTTTCAGTGCTGCAAGAGTGCTCATATACTGGCTTTAAATTACAGAACTGCTGCCAAATGTACCCGAATGTACCCTTTGTTAATTTAGACGGCTGGATGTACTTCCTTGAACATTAACCTCACATGCATAAATTAACAAAGGCAATGAAGTCAGCAAAAGTTGGGGAAGGTGTGGTAAGAATTATCCACATCCATATGTTAGTGAGTTTTGTTTAGTTTTTTTTTTTCTCGCTTTTCTTTCAAGCTGTGACTACAAATTAAAACAGCAATTTTACACATCAAAGTCTGTTTCCCAGTTATGGAGAGTAGTGCTTCGGTTAGTAAGTAGTATCTAGTTTTTTTTTAAAGACCCTTAAGCTTTAAATTGTGAAAATGTAACAGTCTACCTAGAACAGCATGAGCATATCAGGGCAGTGAATTATGTTTTAGTTCACTGTCAGTTATGAACTGAATATTTTCCAATATTGAATGCAGAGTCACACACAAAACAAGCGCAAGTGAAACAACACTTATATTTATTCAGATTTTGAATATAATAATCAAAAATCTTTTCCACATCTTTCACAGAGTCCTCTACCAAATCTGTTTGAGATGCTAAATAATTATTTTGAATTTCAGGAGGGTCAGAGAAAAAGAGTAGCACGTCCTCTGCATAGAAGACTCTCTGTCATTCACTGGGTGTTCCATCAGGGCCAGCAATGGTTGTCCAGTTAAATCTAAAACCAGACATCAATTAAAACATTACTAAAGTGAAAGTGATTTCTCAGACATCATTCATGTAATAAAGGATTTCATGTTGGCTGAACTAACCCTGTAAAATGCTCTTTGTAGCTGCAGTTGCCTATACTCTGTTTGTCTATTAGGTACTGGAATCTACAGTTTCACTTATTTTCTTTGGTGTGTACATGTCCTGTTAACAAAGGCAAACTTAGAACAAAAACAAAGACAATTTTAAGATGGCAAAAACGGCAGTTCCCCTTGATGCCACCTGGATAGTCTGGATGGTTTCACCACTTGCAAGAAGTCAATGTTGAGTATTTAATGGAGATTAATGATCCTCACAGGCAGCCACACTACAAAGTTCCTATGATGCACAGAGCGCTTCTTGTGCACCACTACTGAATTTAATCATTAACCATTATTAAACTCTGGCTGTCTCTGCTATAGTTTTGCTTTTGTCCTGTCTCGCTCTGTTCTCTTCTCATTCTCCTAACCCCCAATCAATCATTGTAGATGAGCCTGGTTCTGCTGGAGGGTTCTTCCTGTCAAATGGGAGTTTTTTCTTCCATTGTCATTAATTGCTTGCTCATAGAGGGCCGTGTGATCGTTGGCGTGTCTTTCAAACATTGTAGGATCTTTAGCTTACAATATTGAGTGCCTTGAGATGGCCTTTGTTATGAATTGGTGCTCTATAAATAAAATTGAATTGTAATGCCAGAGTACATTAAAGAATAGGAAGATGCACAAGGCTGTCAGCATATGTAAAAACATAAAAGAAATAATTTAGGTGTATTAAACAGAGGAAAGTGGAGGTTTCCAGAAAATTGGTCAAAGGTTATGAAATGAAGCGGAAAACTGGCAGCTTATTTTATATTTCAAGAAAGTCAAATCCTCTCATTTCCCACCAGTTTCAGCATAATTTATAAATGTAAGATCTCTTATGGTTAAAATCAGACCCTCTTATGGTCTTTTTATGGATCTGCACAGCCTGGATGGCTGCTTAGGTGATCAAGGGCTTTTCCATCAACATCACATGGTTTTAAGGATTATAGGCTTGAAAAATGGTGACGCAGCCATATATTTACATTGAAAATAACAAGAAGAAAACAAGCCTTAACGTGAACATATTGAATACGTTGCACTGTAGGTAAGTAATGACAAGGTCAAACAAATACGTCATAGACCACATAGATTACTTTTTACCACAGAAAGAAAATTTCTATTTTTCAAAGCTTAACAGTTCTTTTTTACTTTGTGACTTTATGAACAAAAACTAAATGTTTTTTCATTAGATCCTGTAGGACCATGCAGCCATCAAAGTAGCCCTATGTATTGATTTCACAGAAACAACTGACTTTAGCATGGAAGATCCAGTTTATTGGTTTTCTTACTAGCATGTCTGTAATTCTTCTTTTACTCCTGGATTTTTCTGCCTGAATGAAGCTGTTACTGGAGAGGATAATGGTCAAATGAGCCAGCTGCCATTATATGGAACGGCTTTAATGTCAAATAGCGTCATTTTGTCGATTAGAAATTTTGTCTTGAGAAATCTTTAGTCTGCTTCTGACGCCAAGCTGGAAAAACTGAAGGAAGAAAGGGAAGCATTTGCTTTTAAGATTCAAGAGATAGCTTAGGCCCTTAACTACAAAGCGGGATGTGGTTTGAGAGGAAAACTTTCTAACTTTTTTTCCTGGTGACTGCAAAGCAATTTAATTTATCTATAGCCTTTTGTGTCGTGGCAAAATCTTCAAAAGAAGCTGATTAAAGCAGTAAATCCTTTCAATTGTTGACTTTGTTCTTTACTTGCTCACAAATCATTTACTAGTAAGAATACAAGTAATTTACTTTATTAATGTATTAATCATTTGTTCCTTTTAGCCTGTATTGTGTTTTTAATTTCTTCATTCTTAAGAAAACAGGTTGTAATAGAAGACAAACAGGCAGCACTAGAATGATCCATGTCACCGCTCCTTTTATATGGAATTCTTACATCTAGAATTGGGGGATTCTGGGTTGACTTACTGAGCTGATGACAACTGGCATAGCCACTTAACATGACTGCTGACGGGAGGCTTTGTGAAACCAGATAACAATAAGATATCTTGAGTATGACTAACTCATTTCATAGTAAAGACCCTGATCAGTGGTAGTACAGGTCTAACATTTGGGTTGACTTAAAAAGTGCCAGCGAATGAATGTAAATCAGTGCCATTAGAAAACAACTGTTTTCATATTTAGAATAAATAAAAGCTAAATAAATATAGTAGATTTATAAAGACATTTTTAAAACAAAGGTCTCGTGATGCAGAAGGCACATACGGCTAAACAGAAGCACCACCTGCAGCTGTAAAAGTGATTTCATAATACTAGTGTGCAATGATGGCAGTGTGATGGAGGTAAAATGTTGCCTAACACACCATGAAAGCCCCAAAAAGGCCAGTGCACTGCTCTAATGCAAGAATACTGACAGATTTGAGAGGTTATCTACCTCCAAAATTCAGGTGGTTACAGAGCGGTGACTATCTGACCAATTCTGATTCTTATAGGTTTTAGCACATCTTCAGGTTTTTTATAATAGTTTGTCATTTTAGGAGGAAAACATATTTTGAACTAATGCCACTCAGATTGCATGCACATGTTCTAAAGGAGGTATATGAGCACTCTTCGACAAACAGGAATTGCATATTGAGCTGATTCTTTTTTTTCTCATACACCTAATGGACTCAGTGTTCCTTTGGAGGATTATGTGTTTACACCCAATGCAACCAAACCCACCAGTTGCACATTATTTGTAAATGGCCTCACTGCAAACACCTTGCTTGTTATCTGTACACTGGAGAAGTTGTCTGCCCTGCTAAGCTGAACTTTTGAATGACATCACTTGTCATCAGCCAGTTTTCTGCCTGCTGCTGTTCGCCCTGTGCTGCATTAGTGCTACCCTTAACAAGCAAACGTCTCAAATCCGCCCGGTAGCACAGCAATTTCTGCTATGATCTGAATGTAAAGTCACTGCTCTGTTGAGTCACTGTGACCCCCAGTGATCACTTCTCAATGCCACTCTACTGGGCATGTATAAAGCTATGTAAAGCTGCTTGAAATGTAAAAATGAATGTACAAATAGCTTCACTATACCTTCTGTAAGTGTGTGTTGGTGGTGTCTACCTCCAAACTGAGAAGCTTGACAGATTTTTACCGGAAATGCAGCCATCTGCTGAAACTGCTCTTTCATACACAATGTTGCTGTGCGGTAGATACTAAAAGAAACGAGTTATTTGCTGTTACGTATCAGTATTTATTGCAAAAACAGAAAGTTGTTTATATTGTTCATGTTTTCAGGCTGATGCATTTTGGTTTGTGGATGGAAAGTAATATAAGAGTTGTTTTAAGAGAAAACAACAGCGCTAAGAGGATGTTTTTCTTCGTTCAGTCTTGTAATTGCCTTACTGTTATTTCCTTTAATGTTTATTGCAAGTACTTTGAAAATGTAAGATCAAAAAAGTATAACACAATGAAAAGTGCTTTGAATATTGATGTAAAACTGTACATTGTTTTGTCTCCATTGTAAGTTTAATTAGTAAAGAAAACAAATATTTTGCTAAGTGTACATCCACTTCCAGTGCAGCATTTGTGCAGTTTTGCAGAACGATTCATTGTTGCTGATTATTGTGAAGTGCTCTGTTTTCGTTCCCACAAAAGGCAGCAGCAAGAACACTGAACATTATATGTTCCTGGATCAAGGTTTAGCTTGTGTTTTGATTGCTCGTTGTATGCTTAGTTCTGTGTATATGTGCAGTGACACAATGCAAACAGCTGTGGGATCATGTTTCATGTTCGGTGATGGCATGAAGAAATGTAAACGTGAGCTTCAGTTCAAATAAGTGATGTTTTGTTGGCTTAAGATGACTTATTTTTATTGTGTCTGAATAAAAGCAGATAGTGAAATGAGAGCGTTGTCAATTTATTTTTCACATTTGTAAATGTGGACATCGTGTCACTCAGGTTTGAGAAAAAAAATGCATGTTCATTGGTAACAGGCTCTCTAAAATGGATGCGTTGGGATGTTAGCACAGGAGGTTCATTTCAAACATGAATGCATTGACACTTCTGAAAGTAGGTAACATCCAAGTGTTGGGAGAAAGGAGGAGACAGTGGATTCAAGCAAAACAGAGAGGAGATTGACGGACAGTAGTCAGTGCCACAGTGCCTACTCAAATACACGGGATGTTAGAATGTCTCTAAAGAATTCCCTTTGGAGAAACAGCTGCTTAGCGGCAACCAAGTTCACAGTTCACGCTAAAATTTGAATATTCAACTGAGCGAAGGACACTTTGATGAAAAGCTAACATTTGACTGGATAAACAGACTAAAATAAAATAAGCAAGCAGGTGTCTCTACGAGCAGAGCTTCCAGTCAGAACAAAGCAGCATCTTCCTCAAGGTGTGCCTGAGCTCGGCGATGCGGAAGGCATATATGGCTGGATCGAAGAGGGCGTGGCTCGTCAGCAGCGCCACATGCAGCTGGAACAGCGATCGGTAACACTCGCAGTAGGGGTTCATGGGGCACACCATGATGATGACAAGGTGGAAAAAAAATGGCGACCAGCAAACCACCAGCGTCCCAAACAGGATGGTGACGGTCTGGGCCCCTCTCATGTTGCTCCCCCACCGCTGCTGGTGATGATTGTTCCTGCCACCAACCGGTAACGCTGCAATCTTTCTGGCATGGATGCGCGCCAGCATGAACATGAAGACATACAGGGAGCAGATAATCACCAAGGAGATGAAAAACAATATGACGAAGCAGATCATGATGAGCTTGAAGTCAAAGAACAATATCATCAGCACGCCCAAGCCCCCGCACACAGTCCAGATGATGCCCAAGATGGCCCCAGTGCGCTGCATTGTCATGATGTTGTGGTATCGGAGTGCATGGAAGATGGTGATGTAACTGGAAGAGAAACAAATCCTTTCATTATCTCATAACTTATCACAGGCTGTCAAGGATTGAGTAACTACGTTTAACTTCACTGCAGCTTCCTCACTCAGCTCGGTCGCCTAAATTTAAGACATTAACTGAGCCTTAACATGATACTGCTGTGCATTACCATTAGCAGGAAGCTTTGTGCCACAAAATAATCCTAAATGTATTTAATCCACACTGGATGACATGTTTTGTAAAGAGTCAAATGTTTTTTTGTTTTTGTCTCAGGAGATGGTGAAACCCAAAACAGAGTTAAGAGTTGAATGCATATTAGCCGCATAAGCATTAATTGGGTGACCAATTGTGCGAAAAATGTGGGACATGGTCATGAACATTATCATTAGCTTGTTGTTCAGCCCAGAAGTGGACAAAATTATTTTATTTTGCTCATTATACTCTCCCAATTCCACTGCTAGTTAAGCTTTTTGTGACTGGCTGCCTCTTATAAATAAAATGTTTTAATGGGGGCGGGCAAGTGACGCTTCTATTCTCACAAGCAGAGGTGAAATCCTGAGATGAATTTATGAAGGATATCAGCTCTCTTTTAGAGAGCTTTTCTTTTGGCTCACAGGATTACTTGGAAAACTACTGAAGACGGCTGTGTTCCATATGAGCATTTAGTATTTCTACTGTAGATATAACTGAAAAATAAGTGAAAGTAAGCAGAGTTCCCTTTAAAAAAAAACAAACCTATAAATAAATGTGCATATGTTGTATTCTCTTTTTCTTTGACTGATTTTAAAATTTGGATAGCTGCCTAAAACGTGGAGAAACAGTATCATTGCAGTAATAAAGTATTCATGATTTTTGGGTAGACATGATGGAAGCCACTGCAGTAAGCCTTTAACTGTACATCAAAGAGTCAGAGCCCAGTGGAAAGCTTTTTAAATTCTCCTTATATAAATATCAGCAGAGGATAAATCATTACGGGGCCACAGATCCATAGATCCATTTAGAACATCTAGATTAGCAGCAAATAGAATAAATCATTCGTTGTGTGGCAAATATAACATGGTTGTGGGTTCTTGTAAGTAACAGTCAGTTCTTTCTTTAAAAGGGTTTTCAAATAGCCCTAAGCATTGTTATGCCTTAGAAAATGAGATTTTCTAAGGCATAACAAAAACAAAAAATGAGATTTTGGGGGATGAGTAGCCTAGAGTGGAATATTTTCATCTCGCCATGAAAACCATTCTCCACACTATAAAATAAACCATTTTAAGATAAAATATTTATGTTTCCATATCCAAGAGCTCCATACATACCGGTCCACGGCAATGGCCAGGATACTGAAAAAGGACCCCAAGAAAGACATGCACAGCAGGGAGTCGATTGCATCGTCCAGCGTGGTCTCAGAAGAGCCTTTCTTATTCAAGTGTCCCACATCAGCAAACACAATCATGAGGTTTTCCAAGGTTTTGGTCAGGCTGGCGATGGCGTGGAAGGCTGCCAGGCTGCAGATGAAGCAGTACATTGGCGAGTGGAGGTTTCTGTTCCGTATGACAGCTACCACAACAAGGAAGTTCTCTGCAAAGCTCACCGCTCCGATGGTGAAGAAGACGGGGTTGGGAACCACCACCTCAGGACAGTGCGATTGGTTCAATATAGAGCTGTTCATTGTTAGTCAAGACAGTGGTCGTCCAGGATTAAATGCTGATTAAAGGCAGATGTTTACTTTGGGGCTATTTTGCATTGAAAGTTTATTAAGTTTAATAATATTGTTTCACGAATTGGTTTAAATATGACATTTTAAACTGCCTTCATTCTTACATTTACAAAAACATTTTACCTGCTGACCTGTTTTTAACATAGAGATCAAGTTTAAACTGATACCTGTGACTTAATGAGTCCTATAAAGGTCTCAAAATTTAGATTTACACACTTTGCAATATCCTTCAACTTTCTTGTCATCAATAATTTCATGAAATCACGACAAAAATATTTGCTGAAAACCTAAAAAAAGTCAACAAAAAGTAACAATTGTTTTTATAGATACAAATTTGAATTTAAAACACAAATTAATGGTAAGAGACTTACTGACTAAATTTATGGACAGCTGCCAAACAAAACAATGGAGCTAAACTACAAAAATACAGGCAGCAGGTTTACATATATAAAAAATAAAATAATAATGTCACATGCTACATAATGACATAATATTAATGTTGTTTTTAACAGGCTTTCTTTTGTGTTGCTATTACAAAGAATGAACATTAGTTTATGGTTAACTAGATCAGGACTGTCACAAGCTTTGACCTATAACCTATTTATCCAAGAGGTGAAAGACTTTGTAACTGGGTTTGTAGAAGTGCTATAAAGATTAAAAATACATTTTAAAAATTGGAATAATAACTAGTTGCAGTAGTTTTCACAAAAGAAATATAACCATGTTAGGTCAGATTTGAGGTTTTCCTTTTAAGCTAAGCTTAGACAATATATCATGTTTTAGTGAGAAAGTAAAATAGTAGTATGCAGCTTGTTTGCAGTAAAGAAACATTAATGCTAGATGAGAAACGATAGAAGCAAAGTGGTTCTGAGTTTCAAAATAATTACAAAAGTTCATCTATTGTTACCTTAAAACATAATTGATTTTTGTTGAGTGAAACAAAAAAATAAAAATATAAAAGACCAAGAAACAAAAATTACTCCACGTGTTACAGCAAGAGTCTGACCTCAGGTGGAGGCCGTGGGTTGTTTTCAGCTGTCCTCCACTGGGTAATCGCAAGAGCGAAGGTCACGTTTAAGAAAACACGCACAGGGCCGCTGAAAACAGGCAGCTCGCTGCAGCTCCCGTGGAACAAAGTGTCTTTCTCATATATGTCCAGGTTTAAATTGAGGAGTGCTGGCTCCGGTACACCTCAGTCAGCTGTGGCCACATCAGCCTCTCTGCTGTTCACATGAGGGGCAGCCAATCGATTTTTTCATTCTGTTTGTTCAGAGCTCACAGATGTTATTTCCAAACTGGTTTACGTGTGATTGCAGTGCTGTGTTTGGTGGTCTTCTTGTCTTTGAGTCTGGTGCAGATGTTTACGTGATGCTTTCACCTGTAAAAAACAAGCATGTTATTAAAATTCTTCTTCTGTTAGAGATTCTACGTGCATTGTTTGACTGTTCAATTCTGTGTGAATCATATAGCGTACAACATTTATCTTGTGCTTTGTCTGTGACGAGTTGTGTGACCTTTAATTTAAAGCTCGTCTGTGTCTGTGTATTCTGCCATTCCATTCGAATGCATTTAGTCCCACCTTTGTAATTGAACACTGTCCTTTTATATAAAGAAAGCACTCTGTGATCTTGGCTGTGACTCAGAATTCCTGTCAGGCTGCAGTCTGAAGATTATTATAATAATTATATCCAAAAGCCTCTGATCCCTTTTTATTATGACATTCTCAGAGCAGCTTCAGTCCTCGCAAAGATGCCACATTAAATCCAGTTAAAGCATGTTTTCTAGTTTATTTTACCATATAAGCATAATAGTTTTTAAATAGCCTTTCAATGAGACTATTGGCATTTCCACGGCAAACTCATGTCATGTTTCCAAATTGCCACATTTGCCACTATTCGCTTTCTTTTAATTTTTATCTTTCAGTTATCATTTTATTAAGCTTAGGTAACAAACACTTGCTTAACTTTGAAAAACAAATTATATGGTATATATTCTGATAATATAAGGACAAGCCTGCCTTATATGTCAATGTCTGACATGGTAAACTGTGCTGTGTATACCAGTGAAGCAAGTGTTTTTGTTTTTGAAGATGACTATATTTTTCTAAATACATACCAGCTGCTTCCAGCAGTATCATAATCAGCTGACTGTTTGAGCTACATGTCAACATGCTAACTAGGCATGCTGCCAAGCCAAGAAAAGAAATTATATCTACTCTTAAATTACAGCCCGTTCTCAAATTAACAACTGATTGGTCTCGAGGAAGCACGGTGGCACGGTGGTTAGCACTGTTGCCGCACAGCAAGAAGGTCCTGAGTTCAATTCCAACATCAGGCCGGGGTCTTTCTGTGTGGAGTTTGCATGTTCTCCCCGTGTTTGTGTGGGTTCCCTCCGGGTACTCCGGCTTCCTCCCACCGTCCAAAGACATGCAGCTTGTGGGGATAGGTTAATTGATTAATCCAAATTGCCACTAGGTGTGAATGGTTGTCTGTCCCTGTGTGTTGGCCCTGTGACAGACTGGTGACCTGTCCAGGGTGTACCCCGCCTCTCGCCCTATGACAGCTGGGATAGGCTCCAGCGCCCCCCGCGACCCTGAAAAGGATAAAGAAGCGAATGGATGGATGGTCTTGAGGAAAAGCCTAACATTTGCTGCAGGTCAATGTGTCCTAATGTAATAATAAATAAAATGTCACTTTTATCTCATTTTAAGCTATTTATTTTATTCTGAAATGAAAGATTTTCTATAATAGAAAGAATTCAAGTTGTAATGCAGCGCATCGGAGCTACTGAGGAATGGTGTCAGAATTCTCATTGTGACATCATTTTGAACTTTGACTTTAACACCTAGCTTGTTCTGGGTCTAGCTGCTTCCTACTGAGCAATCGGGGCCAAACTGGTCAAGTGTTAATCCCACTACAAACAAACAATTTGTATCAATAAAGATAGGATGAATGTACTTTCATGAGTACTTTACAACTGCCCCCAGGCTGTCTGGTAGCAAACAAAATAAAATGAATGTCCATGAACACAAATCAGTGCTGTCTTAAAGCTAATATGAAGCTAATATGATTTATAGTCAGTCACAAATTATTATTATAATATCAGCTACATCAGCTAAAGCTATCTATCTGAGACCAACCAAGGGTCCATGGCACTGGAATATCCACTGTGGCTTTGCACGATTCTTCAATGCCTGAACCTGTCATTTGTTACTGCTGCAGCAACACATGATCAGCTGGGTAAAGCAGACCTGTCTTACAAGTCATTTCCAATTTTTTAGGAAGTGCAAGCTAACAAATGTCACTACAAACATTTGGACGCCACAAGGCAGGTATCCCTGTAGGACGTGTTATGAAAAGTATTGTAAAGTCATGCTTTCATGGTCTGTATTCATACTGAGCAGTGAATGTTCAGTGGGAGCTGTTTGTCCTCCCCAAACTTGCCTTAGGTGTACTTCCCAGTTAAATCCTGCTCCAGGGAAACCCAGTTTCTCGGTGAGTCAGTCCTGCCAGCAGTTGATGCCAGAAGCGAGAAGTCACTTGGAAAACTTCCCCAAGTAAATGAAAAAATAACAAACGTTCACTGCTTGCTTCAGCCATTATACTACTGAAATTCTAAATGTAAGTTCTCATATGTTTCCATGCAAAACTATTTCATCTTGGCTGTTGACCTGTATGCAAACTTCTGCTTTAGGTTAACACTTTTTACAACATCCAGCCAACTAAGCTTTGAAATGGTGTCAAGAGTTGGCTTGGAGCATTTTAGTAAATGTTAATGAGCATTTGCTGACATTCATTTGGGTGAATTCTAGTGGTGCAACGGATCACGGTTGATCGGTAATCCGAACCGATCCCACTCCACGGTTCGGTACGCACGTGATACGAAAATTCGAAAAAGAAGAAAAAAAAGTATGTGTATGGTGCGCGTGGTCAGTCTGTCAAGCGATAGTTATGGCCAGTGCTAGCGGCCCAAGTGGAGGAGCAGAGGAGTTTGCGGTATTTAAGCAGCCCTTTGCTGCCCAATCCGACCGGGCTAAAGCTATTACAGAAGCTACTGGGGAGTTTAGCTGCAGACGGGAGGCCGTATTCCGTTGTGCAAAACAAGGGGTTTAAACTATGATGAACGTGCTTGAGCCACGCTATGATATCCCATCGCGCGTCCACTTTAGAGGCAAGATCGTTCCAAGCATGTATGAGCAGGAAAAGATTTAAGTTATGGCTGAACTGTCCCAGGCATCTTCTGTTGCCCTAACTACTACAAATGGGTGGAGCTCCAGGGCAATGGAAAGCTACGTGACTGTGACAGCTCATTATATCACAGAGGAGTGCGATATAATGAGCGGTGTGTATTATTGTAGGGTCTACCTTACAATATAAAGCGCCTTGAGGCGACTGTTGTTGTGATTTGGCGCTTTATAAATAAAATTGAATTGAGTGGTAGATACAAAGCCCTACACTGCCCTATATTGTATCATAACTTTTTTTTAAATAATTGCGTGGAATGAGTCTTGAGTTGAATGTTTTTAACAGGCAAAAAATACTTCAATAAGTAAATAAGTAAATGTTCAATTTTTGTCTTTTTTCTTTTTTTGCTGATCCAAAAATTGATCCGATCCGTGACTTAAAACCGTGATCCGATCCAAACCGTGAGATTTTTGATCCGTTGCACCACTAGTGAATTCCATCTATTCATGCATTTTTCTGCCACTTGTTTGGCTCTAGCTTGTGGTGGCACCAGGGTAAAGAGAGAAGCCCAGACCACCCTCTTCCTAAACACTTCCTCCAGCTCATCTGTGTGGACACCAAGGCATGCCTCAATCTTTCGGTCACAATCCCGTAATATAGATGGTTTGGTAAATTGAGAGGTTTGCTTTTACAGACAGCTCTCCGTTCACCACAACAGACCAGTACAGCATCTACACACCAATTCATCTATCAATCCCATTCTATGCTCCACTCTTGAGCAAACTTCAAAACTAACCCTTGCATTGCTTAAAAAGTCTACTTAGAGACTGCATCAGAGCTAATAACACAATGGCAACACTGATAATTGTCATGCTCATAGTCTTTGTTTCGTGCATAAGGATTCTAATAATTGCAAATTAGCACTTTGTCATTACTTTATATTTATTCAGTGTCATAAGCTTCATTTTTACACTTAATTTATTTGATGGACATGCTAAAAGCCCACAAAACCTACTAGAGGCAATCTTGCTGTCTATAGCAGTATTTGAGTAAAGTTTCATAACAGTCCACATGTTATTAAGTAGGGCTGCACAATTCATTAAATTCAGCCTCAGTCATGATTTTGGCTTCCAGTGAACATGATCACAATACATAAAATGTGTGCTTTGCCAGTGCTCCCTAAATCAGTGCCTGATCACAGGCCTGCATGCCCCAGTCACAACTGTATTTAAAGACAGATATACAACAAAATTCTAACATCTTGGCACAGCAGAAGATGAAGCTCTTGTCCCTTGCAGATCATCAGATTTGCCACATGTGATGTTAACCGAGAAGAAATGTAACAAGCGAGTTGAGTCTGTAACATCAACAAAAGTGAGTCTGAACAGTCTCCACAGCCAACCAGCTCACACTGAACACAAGCAAATTCCATTTGGTCAACGAAATCTGTTCACTGGACTCAGTGAGTAACAAAGGCTCCAGGAAAATGATCGTCCTACTGGGTGAAAGATTATTTCATATTTTGCTACAATGATACTATCCATGCTGTGTACAAAATCCCACAGAGGGAAAACAAAGTTATCTTACCGCTGTCCAGTACTTTGCTACACGTTTTATTCAAATGCAGGCACAATAATTGCAGTGAAAAGAAGAATCTGTAGCGATTATTGAATCTTGTGTTAAACTTTGATGCATTTTTTTAATATTCTTTTGTTTTCCTTCTAAGAGAGATGCTGAATTTAGGTGAATAAGGAAGCTAGGTGAATATTTTGAAGCTAAGATTTCTACAGATGTAAGGATGTGAAAGCCGTGTTCTGTTTACATGACAGTGCAACAAAACCTTTTTGTCACTTAAATGATTCATGGCAGGTAATCACGGTCTCCCGGTTGATCAAAGTAATCACGGTTATATACAGTCCTAGTATTACGCTTCATCAGTGTATGAGCTTTCTCACTCTCATGAGAAAACACTTTAGTATTATTACTGTGGGCTCCACATATTGGCTGAGTCACTGGTTTGAGCTTTA